AGGTCAAAGGTCGATCTCTCAGCGGCGTTGTTGTATGAGATTGTGCTGAGGTTGAGGGGCTGCGGCGGGACGGCCGACGCGCTCCCACAGGTGGCGCCAAGGATGGAGTAGAGCGCGCCGAGCTGGATCAGCTGACTGACGGCGAAATTCGACATGGCCGCCGAGTCGCCGTTCGCGACAAGCTGGGCCCCCGGCGATGGTGTGGCTTCGTGATTCTGCGCCGCGCACGCCGCACGGGGCACCGTGGGGATCCTCAGCTCCACCCGGCCGCTCGGCTGACCGCTGCCGCCGCTGCTGCTGCCGCCGCTGCTGCTGCTACGGACGCCTGCAGCAGTTTTGCTCGTGCCGAGGCCGGAGTCGCTCACGGAGACTCCGCTGGAATGATCGTCGTGGTCGTCCGGGAAGCCCTGCTGCTGCTGTTGCTGCTGCTGCTGCTGCTGACGCTGCCTGGTAGCTGATGCCACTCCTGACCATTCGCCCTCCTTCTGGTTTTCGTCGTATTCCAACCACCTGCTCAGCGGCTCCTCTGTAATGGAGACAACGTCTGTCATGTCACGCGAGCGGGAGGGAGGACTGGTGAGATTGCCAGCTGACGCAGCTTGAACACGGGGAGTCGTGGTGCACGGCATCCGAACGTGTAGCAGAATGCGTTATACGAATCAATAAGATAAACGCATGCCATGCTGAGTGTGAAACGAGTTCGAACACAATCTAACAACTATTTTTTTAGGAACTGAGAATACCCCTCAACAAATTATTTTGTAACGCATGAAAATATATATCAAGATTGCATGCAGAACCGCAGTTTGCGTACGCTAATTAATGCTTCACAAGTTTCATTAACCACTGCACAGAATCGACCGACGTTCGGACACATACTTAGGTATCTGTGGCGAAAGCCTTCCAGCCAATTATAGGAAAACTTGAACTCCACTTCAGGATGAAGTTTTGACATGATTCCCTCGGATTTTGTGCGAAACCAGGCGAGTGTAATAAACTTTGAACTCCCGAGTTTTTCCACCTGCAAATTAGAATTGACTAGACTAAGCTGACTAAAATTATAAAATTACTATTACTAACACTCACTAAATATTACTATATATCTAGTTTACTGAAGGTAAATACTGGTTTAAAACAATTAAAATAAATTGAAATCACTCTTTATTCCCCGCTCAAAAAACTGAAAAATTACATGTTCATACAAAATATACTACTTAAAAATATCCAAGCATTCATACATACACTATCGCGTACACACACATGTACACATGCATGCACGCATGCACACAAAAATACACACACAAAACCTAAAACAGACTGGAAACAGGGTTGCCATCATTCCGGTTTGTTGTTTACTCAGTATTAAGAAACCTGTTACTAGCTGAAGGTTTTTGCGCAGTGATCATGTCACCTGTCAAGCTTTAACAAAGCATTTAATTAGGTGATCTGCAGCATATCCCTGTTCACACATCGATTTATACTGGGCAGGCCACGTCATTCATTTCAACTGCCACACAAGTTCTACCTCACAGTAAACCTACCTGTAAATTTACTGTTCATATTATTTTTATTCACGGAGAAAACTAAATTACAGTCATAATGCATGTTTTCTGCTCAAATGGGAGAGTTCCACTCGCAATTTTTATGACCAACTACCATCACAACTATAAAGGCAAGGAACACATATACAACTGAAGAAATTAAAAAAAATCAGGCAACAAATTTGAAAAAATGCAAATAAAAGGCACCATACACAATAGCCGGCGTGGCTAGGTAAGTAAATCTACCAAATATCTCATCCTATGCACATAATTATCTAAACCGCGGTAGTTGTGCTATATAACAAAACAACAGTACGTGCCCATTCAGCATACTGCCTAGTGCTCACATAGACAGAACATTTCCTCTAGCTTCTTACAACTCAACATCTGGCTAAAACGTACACATATTAACAAACACACACATTCACACATGCACGCACACGCACATACATGAAAGCATGCATGCGCACACATGCACGCATACACACACAGACGCACGCACCCACGCACGCACGTGCCTACCTGTTCGAGATATTGCAGGTAGAGTTCATCCTCCATGTCCTTCCAGAACGGCTTGCGACCGCTTCCCACCTTCATCGCTCCACGACGGCTGCAGCGGATCTTCTCCTCTGCCTTCACCCACTTGCCGAGCATGCGCGTGTTGAGACCGAACAGCTTGCACGTGCGGTACTTGTTCTTGCCGTGTGTGTTGTACCAGTCAAGCACGTGCAGCTTCTCCTCGCGCGTGTACGACTTGCGGTGAACGCCGCTGCGACCGATCTTGAAGCACTGCTCTAGCCCCTCCTCCCCGCTCGCCCGCCACGACGCGCCGCGCGCTGCAGTCACGTCTCCGTTCTCCATCGCAACGCCGTTGTCAGGGGAAATGCCGGCGCGGCTGCAGTGCGGGGCCGGGGAGCCGCCCCCGCCGCGGGGCGGGGCGGACGGCTCCGCGGGTTTCGCGGAGGCAGCGAGCGGGGTGTCCAGCACGGGGGAGCCGTTCCAGACGGCGGGAATGTGCGCGTAGCCGCAGCTGTTCGCGAGAAGCTGCAGGCAGCGGCCGAGGCTCTCGCTCGTCTGCATCATGTTGTGCTCATTGTCACGGCGACCGGCGTCGCCGAGAGGCAGCTGCCTGAGAGAGTACTCATGGTGGATGTCGTTAACGACGGCGGAGACGGCGTCCGCGCAGCTCTCGCTTACCTCCTTAGCTGGCTTCGGTTTTAGCAGAGATTTTCCGTCGCTGGACGTCGGATGTCCCGTGACGACGGTGTTGCTTCGCCGGTCACCGGCGTCGCCGCCTCCTGCTCCCCGCTCTCTGGTGTTAACATGATGACCCAGGCGGAACTGCATACCATCAAAGTTAAGTCCGGAAGCGTCGTAATGCGGCATCTCAAAGCTGCTTAGCAATCCATTGGTCGGGGCGACGGGGAAATTTGGCATTGCGTAATGGTGCCAGTAGTGGGCATTCAGATTGGGTACGGTCACTGTATATGAATCATCGCTGATTTTACGTGGCCTTCCCCGCTTGCGACCGACTGAAAAGCTACCACTGGCTTGACTGCTGGTAGCTACCATGCTAGGCTCTGTGACCGTGTCTGCTTGTGCTTCTGGAAATATGAGAAAGAATTATTGCATAGCCTGAATGTGCACATATTTTCGGATACATGTGCACATCTACATAGTGCCAATAACACAACGTCTAAACGCATCAAAAAGTGGCTATAAACTGAATACAGTAACACCATATGTATACATATTAACATTAAGTAAATTGGTAAACTGACCCATGAATCGCCTCTTGAAGCCAGCCAGCCACTGCGTCGTGAATTTGAAGTCCGAGCTCGGCTCCAGTCGTCTCATGATCTTCTCGGAATTCTCCCTGAACCAGACGTGTGGCACCTGAGATTCACCACCGCTCCGCCGCACCTCCTCCTTGTACAGACGATGTAGCTCATCCTCCATCTCCATCCAGAAGGGTCTGCGGCCGCTGCCCGCTCGCATCGATCCCTCTCTGCTGCGTCGAATCTTCTTCTCAGCGGCGATCCACTTCCCGAGAGTTCTCGTGTTCAGGGCAAACAGCTTGCTAGTCTTGTACTTGTTTCGGCCATTCTTGTAGTACCAATCGAGCACCTGAAACGCGACAACATGCAGGCATGAGAAGTGTTTCCCATACACATATTAACATTGTTTGAATGTGCGTGTGCGCTCGCGTTGCTCATACACCCGTGTCTTTGGGTGTACTTGTAAGGCTGAGCATGCGTGTGTGTGCATATGCGTGCATGTGTGTGCATGAGGTCGTATACATGTGCGCATCTTCATCAATAACGAATGACATGTTCATCAAATTCATTTTCAGACTCAAGTACTTGCATAAGGATAAACGAAAGTAGCGACTTACCTGGATTTTTTCTTCGCGCGTGTAGGAGCGCCGTAAATTCACACATTTTCCTATCGGGATTCTGGGCTGATCGTCTGCATCGTCGGAAACACCATCTTCCGTTTCACCGGGTTCACAACCAATGTCTCCTAAGATGCTCTGCACATAGTGTTGAGTAACCGTCTTCGTAAGCTTCTGTGCGCTGTCAGTGTCAGCGATTGCAGAGCTGTCAGTGTCCGCGACTGCAGCGCTGTCACTATCACCCAGTTCGCAGCCATTTGTGACGTGCAAATCATCACTGTATGCGCGGAAGTTGCTCGTCTCGCACCGCTCTCCGTAAGTGTAAACATTACGCTCTTCGTTTAGGTTGTCCACAACGAGATTGCACTGCAGATGAAGGATGTGAGGAGACGATAGGTTATTCTGCTCTAGCGACGATTCCGGCAGACAGTCCTGCTCGTCGTCGTTATTGTTTAGCACCAGCGACGACGTCCTTTTCAGCTTCTGTGGCTCCCGTTGCTTTCGCCGCGACGAGCCGACACATTTAATTTTTGAGTAAATACTGTCTTTCGCTTCGTTATCACTAAAGTTGGAAGAATTGTCTACGGTTGCTGTCTCCTGTTCCATTTCGTGTTCCACCGGGTCCACCTCGTGCCCATCATTAGTCTGATTAGATCCCGCTGCCAGACTCGGACCCGGATCTGGGTCATCTAAAATCAAGCAAAACAAACATAACGCACAGTAATTCTAAGAGAAACGTGAATACAAACACAAATGCGCATACTTTATTGATTAGTGGCTGTGTACGTTCTCCATCGTAACAGTTAAATTGTTATATTTACCTGGGCGATCGAACCTTGTTGTGTCGGCGGACGCCATGTTTGGCATGAAGGTCCCTAGCCACATCGTACAAATATTGACGATTTTATTTTTTTACAATTGTACAATAAAGCCTTTTTTAATCACACAATATATTATAAAATTGGTTGAACGCAGTATTAACTATCAATGTAACATACACAACCGTTTTTAGTTGTAAATATTATTAACTGGCCGCTCACCACATTGATAATTATATCATGTAACGACGTCATCACATCGATCAAAGCGCCATCACTCAGAGTCGCGTCATGGTCGTAAACAAACTTACTGCTGTAAACTGTAGTGTTTATACATAATACCACGCTTTCTAGATTTTGTGAGCTTTCGAGCTTTTTAAACCGCAAAATGAGGGTCCGCATAAGATATGGAACGATTACAAAGCCGCTCGTTGTCGACCAGCCGCAGTCTGTGACAGTTGCTTCTCTGAGAGGTCTTGTCAATGATCTCCTTCAACATGAATTTAACGACGTCTCACTGGCACACGAAAAGTACGTGCTAGTAGTAGTAGTAGTACTAGTAGTAGTAGTACTACTACTAGTACTAGGTCTAGTATAGCTCTAATACGTCTATAGCCCTTCGCTCCGCCGCAGGGAGGAAGCCCCTGCGGCGGCGCTCCCTGCGGAGGCGCTCCCTGCGGCGCCGCTAGCTCCCTGCGGAGGCGCTCCCTGCGGCGGAGCTCCCTGCGGCGGCGCTCCCTGCGGAGGCGCTCCCTGCGGAGGCGCTCCCTGCGGAGGCGCTCCCTGCGGGGGTCTATAGCGCGATGTAGATGATCTATATAAATCTAATAATCGGAGGCATCTATAGAGATGGACTACTATATTCGCATCCGACCTGGCAGGGCTATAAGATGTAAGCCCCTGCGGAGTTGCGCTCCCTGTGAGCGTGAAGAGCGCTCATCCCTGCGGAGGCCGCCATCCTGCTAGTATAAGCCTGATACGCGGCTCCCTGCGGAGTAGCGCTGCTCACTGTCAGGTAGTGCTGTCGTGGTGTCGCCTGTGCGGCGGCCGTTGTGTGTGTGTCTGCGGAGTGCGGCTGTTGTCCCTGCGGAGGTGCGCGTGCTCGTTGTGGAGTGTGGCGCTCTGTCCTGCGGGAGGCGCTCCCTGCGGGGCGCGGCGGCTCCCTGCGGCGCGCCGGGCTAGTCTCCCTGCGGAGGCCGCTCCTGGCGGCGGCGCTCCTGCGGCGGCGCTGCCATGCGGCGGAGCTCCCTGCGGCGAGCCCCTGCGGCGGGCGCTCCCTTGCGGAGCGGGCTGCTCCTGGCTAGGGGCTGCCGTGCGCTCTGCGGAGGTCCTCCCTGACGGGTGCGTGTGTGTGCTTGTGTCGCGCTCGCGTGCCGTGTGCGGCTCGCGTGCTGCCGCGTCTGCGGAGGCGCTGTGCGGGTCGCTCAGCTGGCGTGCGCGTGCGCGTAGTTCGTGCGTGCGCTGTCGGGAGTGCGTGCGTGGTGATGCGCTTGAATATCCGCTTACGCTGCGGAGGCGCTCCTGCGGCGGCGAGTGCGCTCCCGCCCCCACTGCGGAGAGCGCCTCAATCCTGGTTCAGTGTGTATACATACACTCTCGCTGCTCCACGCGTGCTCTAGGTAAGCTTCAGCTATCGCGCCTGTCCTCGTCGCGGCTGAACTTGCTCCGCGCCTGATTACAGCTCTCATCGTCTCAATGATGCATGTATGGATTCATGGAAGACTGCGTGGGCTAAGTCTGCTTTAACCCCTACAGCCCTCGCCGGCAGGCGCTACAGCACGTGCTCTGCTGTGTGGGTGCGTGGCTAGGTCGTTTCGAAGGCAAAGCGGTATGGGGCGTGCGTTCCGCTCCCACGTGTGGCGGTTGGGCGCTGCGACTCTTCCTCGAGATTCTTGATCCGAACGCGGGGAACTTATAGCGACGCGACGGGCCCTGCGCGGGTGCGCCGTGGATGCATGCATGCGATGAGATGAGAGAGGCGAAGTGTGAGAGAGAAAGAGAGAGGAGAGAAGAGAGAGAGAGACAGAGACGAGAGAAGGCGAGAGAGAGAGAGAGACACACACACAGAAAGAGAGAAGAGAAGACAGAGAGACGAGAGTAGAGGAGAGAGAGCTAGAGAGAGAGGAGAGCGAGAGTAGCAGAGAGATAAAAGAGAGAAAAGGAAAGCATACAGCCGATAGGCAGGAGTGAGGGCAGGAGAAGCGAGAAAGCTCAGGAACTTACATGGTCGGAGAGGCAGAGGCACTCACCACACACCTAACACACACACACACACATGCACCACGCAAGCGACCATACCCATGACACCGAGCAGCACACAGCCAGCACCTTGCGGCGGCGCTCCTTGCGGAGCGCTCCACCCATGCGGAAGGCGCTCCCTGCGGAGGCGCTCCCCTAGCGCACAGCAGTCGACATCACCTACGACGGAGCGGCTCCCTGCGGAGCGGTCTTCTGAAGGCGCCGCTGAGCGTCCCCCTGCCGGAGGCGCTCCCTGCGGCGGCGCTCCTCTACGCAGCAACACACCAGCGCTCAACATCTCACATACGAGCAGGCCACCCAGCTCACTCGCCTGCGGAGCGCGCTCCCTCGGCGGCGCTCTCTGCGGCAGGCAGCACTCGCCCTGCGGCGGCCGCTCCTCTGCGAGAAGGCGATCACCCTGCAGGCGACCCGCTTAGCTACCCTGCGAGGGCGCTCTGCGCGGCGCCTCGTGCGACAGGCCGCTCCCATGCGGCAAGGGCCCCCCCCG